CATGGATAACTCATTTCCACGTATCTGATATGGTGGAGAAAAGAAGAGCTGAAGGACTAACTGTCCTCTCTGGGGTTTTTGAGCTGAGGGCTTACTCAAAATGTTTAATATCTGGATTTAGGCTTTGTAGCGCTGCCACTACCTCATATTTTTAAATATACTTGTTCTGTTACTTCCAGTCTTTAGAAGTATTGTACTGAAGAAAGAATATTGCATATTTGAGAAATTTGGTGACTGCAAAGAAAAATGACTTTTGATCTGTCCACGATACTTTCTAATACTTTCATGCCTTATGAACTGGAGTAAGAAGCAACTTCTCTTAAATAGCTTCAGTCCTCCTAACGTAGTTTACTAACTGACGTATAGTGAAGCAGCTTTTCTAAAATAAATACGTAAGTACTTTTCTAGTCTGTGGAGGTGTGTATTTGAAGCCTTTCAGCCAAGATTATGACCAGGAAACTAAGTCCTGAACTTCTCAAACTTATCCATGTGTTATCTGTGGTACTTGTGCATTAGTCAAGTTGACTTACTTGTCATCTACAATTTAGGCAGAAGTTATATGCCTGATTTAGGCAAGCTAAATCCCAGTCAATGCAGCTTGGGGAACTGTTAAAATATTTTCACCTGGATCTGGTGCCCTAGATGAAGGCAAAATTAATTTTCTCATAATGGGCTAAGCAAAGATCCTGTATTTCTTTCAAGAGAATAGCATCAAAGCTATAAAACTCAAGCATTTCCTCCTTTTTTTCTGTGAGGACCATGTCATGCTTTTGAACATTAAACTGTTCCATATAGATTCTCTTAGCACTGTTATTGACCTGTCTGTCCTGATAACAGAAATGTATTATATTGGGTGGGGTGCCTGTAAGAATTTTAGCCGTTGATTTTAGACACTGTATGTGTCTGTTCATCATGCCAGCTCAATTGCTGGGCACAGCTCAAGAGCCGTGTCAGCAAGCTAAGGCTCTCTTCCATGTCTGTAACTCTCCAGGTCTAAGGTCTAACTTGACTATTACCTGGTGACCTTACAAAATCTTTTCATCTATCAACTCCACAAGTGGTAGCATGGCTACTGAGACAGTGTTCTGGCAAGGGTAATAATAGCTCAAAAGATGTGGAGGTTTAAAGCAAACATGTAAGTGCATTTGCCCAAATTCCTCCTGGGCCACGTGGCTCTATGAAGTCTCACGTTCAGCTGCAGTAACTAGTACATTATCAAGCACTGTCTGACTACTCTTTTGGTTTCCAAATACCTTTCCCCAAACCTTTGTTCCTTAATGAACAGTGACTGGAATGCACTATTTAAGTAGACTTCAGGAGCTGGTGAAACAGAGGATGTCACATTTCCTTACGTGTCATAAGTAGGTTTTGTGGCAGCTATTGGCAAAAATAACTTTTTTTTTTTTTTTTTTTTTTTTTTTTTTTGGTGGGATTTATGCTGCTGTCATAGTCCAATACATTATAAAGGCAAAAAGGGAAAACGATCTACTGTCAGATTTTCAGTGGGCAGAGTAGTCTGTTAGAACTGCAGAGGGATTTTCTCTGCTGTTGATAGCAGCATGCATATGTGGGTGAATCCTGCGCTCATCCTATACTCCTAGCTTGGAGCTGATCAGGCTGTTGTTGCATATTGTTGTCAGTATAGGGAAGGCTTGTCTCTGGAAAGAACATTTCAGAATGGGAGTTTTGGTTATCAGAAGGTAGGAGAGGCCGCTATGAAATAAAACCAAGTCTTTTCTGTGTTACATTTATTTGTTTGCTTTAGCTAGAAGGACCAAAGCATAGAGAACAGCAGCCACACTTTTTTATGAAACACATTTAAAAGAACGTGATTCCACTAAAATAAAAAATGTGAGCATGGTTTTTGGTGTACTGGGCTTCCATTTTAGCCCCTTGGCTCTGATTAAAGATTATTCAATTTACAGATTTTGCCCCTACAATTTACTGTGACTGTAGGAGACTTAATGCTGACAGTAGTCAGTTGAACATCGAAGTGACCCCGGTTGGAAATGGGAATGACATATTCTTAGAATAGCCTTCTGGAAAGCCTAAGCAAGCAAAAACAGTAGGTGCACTAATTCTTGCTGTTTAAAGCCTTGGTCCATGACAAACCACATGTAACATACATAAGAGTAGGCAGAAATGGATGTTGACAGCATGGAAGAGCATTGCAACTACTGTCCTCCATATAAACACAGGGAGAAATTTTCAGAAGGCTCAGGTCTTTTGTCAGGCTTGGACCAAGACTTTGACAGCTTCCTTAAGTACCTGATCACTGGGCAAAGGAGTAGCACAGAGGTGTTGACACTGAAATGAAGAAATGAGAGCATTTTTTACCAATAGTTTGCCTCTGCAGCCTTCGTAGCAGGCTGCCACATGCCAGCTGCCACTGGGCTGCATTTGAAGCAGTGCTTTCTTGGTTGATAGCTAGCCAAAAGTCTCAGCTGCTCAGACAAATGGTTTGCTGCAAATCAATGAGGTTTTCTAGACACAGGCGGTTAATATTTCAATAGGCAACTGCAGATAAAGTTGCTGTGTCAGATTTCATGGCAGAGAGCTGTTGCCCTTGTTCAGAAAATTGTGTGCCTGGAAAGTGTTTGGACCTTTCCATTTCAACCACCTGAAAATTTCTGCTTTCAAATCAACTTTGAAATGAGTATTTTGCCTGTATTTTTGGACATTATTTTTCTAGTTTTGAGCATTCAAAGATGAACTGGAATGGTTTCTACCCCCTGGCAAACCTCGGAGGGGAGGTTAATGCTATAGACTTTGCTCTGTTTATATTCAAAGTCATTACTAAAATTCAGGTGTTTCTGAGCAACTTCTTGCTGGATGCTCTGTTTACACAGGCCGTCTTCATGAATGTCCAGGTGCATTTTATTTTTCCATCTGATCTACCAAGGAGAAGTGAGCCCTTTGCTGCACACAGTGTTTGTCAGATTCCCAGAAAGTATCTGCTTTGAAACATGTTCAGTAGCAGTGAAAAGCATAGATGAAATTCTGTACACTGATTTGATTCAACAAGCCATAATTTTTAAAGAAATAACTTGATTCTGCTGTAAGAAGAAACAAGCAGACAAACAAACCAACACTGCTGCAAAGCACAGCAGCTTCTTCTAAGCTCTCTCTCAACCCATGTCTGCCATTTTTGCCCCCACTTTCCTAAGCGTGTCTGTGTCACCCAAAGGACATCGTCCTGCGCTTTTGGCCAGTATTCTGGGTTTGAATTCCCACACAGAAAAGAATTTACTTAGGAAAATAATATAATGTGGCTGTCAGTAGGCGCAATACTGCCTCTAGTGCTACAATGTACTGACTCTAAATGAAGCTGTGGCAGATGGCCTAAGAAGTTTCAGTGCTTTCTTTCCCTAGATCAAGATTGCTCGATTAATTTGTACTCTGGTGCAGAGTTGTTTTACCAGGCTCTAATTGGACGGGCAGGATACACTGGTTCTAGCTTTGCTGGACCAAGCAAGGTCTGCAGGTGGGGAATGCTGTGCATAACCTGGGCCAGCAGGCCCCTGATGAGGCTGGGATAATGGAGAGGAACATGGGATCATCCCACAAGGTGCAACATCTGCTGGAACCAGCAGAAATGTGCTCTCATTCAGACTGTGCCTCAGCCCACCGTTTGAGCAGCCCTGTGTTAGATTTCTGTGGCATTTTACTTTATAAAATGCTCTTATGTGCACAGTGCCTGAAGAACTAGTGTTATGTTACTGACATTCTCAGGTATGGTACTAGGTAGGTAAGGAGGAAGGCTGTCTGTATCTCCAATGTCTTCTTCCAGGTCAGAAACAGCTCTAGAGCTTTTGGGTCACATCCAGACATTACAGTTGTGTTACATGAGTAGATTTTCAGCAGTGAGGCTGAGAATTCAGCCTCAAAGTGTGACAGATCTTTTTACCCATCTCTTGAATTACTACATTGAAAGCTTCTGTAACATTGAAATGAGTTGAGGGGAGAATAGTGAACAGACAGTGTCATGTTTGCACAGACGTAAGTTCCAGGCACAGCTGAAAGATCTTTTATCTGGAAGACATCCAGAGCAGCACTGAAAGAAGAATAGAAGTGGGTTGTCCAGGAGGAGCCTCAGGAACAGGTAGACAGCAGCCTGGCAGACAGTGAGAAGGAAAACAAAAAACAGAAGCAAAAAAACAAACAAAAATAAGAAAACAAACAAAAAAAGTGATCCAGAAATTAGTGAAATACTTCAGAAGAAAGCAGCAATAAGTTTGGAAAATGGAATGAGTGACTGGAGCACTGAGGGAAAAGCAGGAGCATCCAACAGGAACCAGAAGAATGTGAAATAGAAATAATTCAGTCAGTTGGATCTTTCTGTTGTTGCAATTGGAGAAATCCGTAAGTGAGCAAAAATTATTTTTTTTTTCAGAAAGTGGAGATGTATGGAGAGATTTGATGTAGCATAGTGGAAACATATAGACAAGAATGGGAAAAAGTCAAGTATGATATTGAGATACTGGAGTTTGGGACAGAGAGCAGCAATCATTTTTTATTTGAGTGATTGAGAAAGAAAAATGAGCAGCTCACTTTTTGCTTGGTTTATTAGAAAGAGGAACTTTGAAGTGTAACCTAGTAAATAGAGTCCATCAAACCAGAATTAGCCCAGCTGCCTATTATTGGAATAGCTCAAGGAAAATGTCCTTCTCTGTTCTCTCACCACCTCTAGTTACTTGTTTTCACTCGGTTAAGAAAAGTCAGTGGAACTGCATTTGAAAGTGTTGTCACTTCACAGTCTGTCACAGGATTTTTGCCAGCTCTCTTCAAAAGGAGCTGGTGCCTAGAACTGTGCCAGCTGGTTGGTGTGATCATCTTGTCACTTTACTAGAAAATCTAAATATACAGCAGTACAAACTGAAATATGTCTGCTGTCCTGTTTTGCAACTATTCTGCATTTTATCGAACCTTTTTTTTCCTTTTTTTTTTTCTCTTTTGCTTTAAAGTAGTATTGAAGCTCTCTCTATCTTTCTGTTCTATAGGTTGTCATTTTGTATTTTGAGCCAAGTGTATTTCGCTGTGTTCTCCTAAGATGGGTTCGTCTTCTGGGCTTTGCTACAGTTTATGGAACTGTGACGCTCAAGCTGCACAGGTATTTCACATATTATTAATTTCCATCTCTATGGGAATATGTGCAATCTGTATGGGTACTTAGATGGAAGAGATGCAAATAATATCATAAACAAGCGCCGTTTCTGATTTTTAAAACTACTGTATGTATCTCCACGTTATTTCTGCTGAAGTGATAAACTACTAATTGCAGTAGAGAACTATGAATGCAGAAAGTGATGGTTGCACAGCGAGGAGGTTTCTCGGAAGTGTTGAGCTGGAGCTGCAGCATTTGATGAAGAATGTATACATCAGCTGTAAAATTGCGCAAGGACCACTTTTCAAAGGTGAATATATTCTGCTTGAGTGTAGGATGAAGTGTCTAACTTTCCATATAAAGTGTTCGCAGAGATATTTGATGTTCCTAAGTGAGCGATGCTGAGTGAAATACATTATGGTGTATGTATATACTCTGATTTCTTATGGCTTACAAGTCAAGGGCTGCTCTCTTCAGGCAATCACAGCAGACAGGCTGCATGCTCATGAGCATCAAGTGCCTGCCAGAAAAAATGTGTGGGAAATTCTGGGATACGCTGGGGGAATTTCCACTGGGTTGGCAATGCATTCAAATGCAATTCAGAAATTAAGATTCAGAGACTTATCTTCAAATTCCATTTTTGCAGTCCCTTTAGAAAGAGAAGCTTTTCTGGACAAAATCCTAATGCTTTTCTCTCTTTCAGCTTCAGTGGAAAAAAACTACTGAAATATTCTGTAAATATTTTTGTAACTATTTTTTATAGAAGAGTAATGCAGTATGCTTATGTTGATACTTAAACACCTTGGATGAAGTAAGCTTGCTTCTCTTTTTGTATTAGTTTCATTAGAGTAGGCATGCTAGATAAGGAAGGTTCAATGTTACACTTATAAAATGAATGAGAATTGAAAACATCTAGTTCACGTTGTACAATTGGTTTGTCACATTTTAGGTGGAGAAAGCCACTTTCCCATTGAAGTAGAGCTTCTTACGTTTGTCTTTGGTTACAAGTATTCACTTTGGCTGTTAAACTCTGGCTATATCTATGTCTGGCCTCATCGTCTCATTGAAATTCATATGATGAACAATTTTTTATGCAAAAAGATTAACAATTAGAACACTATAGTAAAGATATGACAGAACTGGTGATTTTGTTTGGTTGACTCATTATCAGTAGTTCAGATATACAGGAAACAGCCTAAAACTATGAAGGACTCCCATTATTATCACTGTTCTGCTACCCTAACAGATTGTGTGTATGGTGTGAAGAAGCGGTGTCTTGACAGAGGAGTTGGTCTTCAGCTCGTATGAAGTGAGAATAGGTTGGAAAACTCAGCAGAAAATCTTGCACTTCTGGTTTACTCATTCAGCTTTTTGGTGTTAGGTGGCACCTGTGATAATAGGCTCAGCAAACAAGACAAAGATTAAGTAAGCCCAAGATCATCCTTGCTCAGTGCAATACAATGAAGACTAAAGGCTCTATGAGAGGAGCCCAGCCAGTGGGTTGAGGAAACTGATTTTCTCCTTTGCTTGGCATGCCTTAGACCATCTCCACAACACTGTTTCTAGTTTTGGACTCTTCCAAGGCATCATTGAACTCAAATGAGTTTAGTGAAGGGTGGCCAGGATGATTAGGACTTGGAGCAAGGAGAAGCTGAAGGAGAGGAGAAAACTTTGAAAGGATCTAAAAGCAGCTATTTAGCACCTACAAGTTGCTTACTGAGAAGATGGAACTGTGCTCTTTGCAATGATGTATGTTGGGATAAGAAAAACAATTATAAATGGATTCTATGTCATGTATGAATTGTCATCATGGTCAACTTTATGTCAGGAAAGCTTTTTTCACCATCAAGGTAATTAAGCAGTGGAGCTTGTGCCAGTGAGGTTGCGAATCTTGATACTCAGAGGTTTTAGGGCCCAGCTTGATGAAGTGCTGAGTAACCAGCTTTAAATTCAGTGTCAACCCTGCTTTTATCACTGGATGACCTTCCAAGATCATTTGTCTCGGATTTATTCTATATTTCTACATTAAACGCATATAAATGAAGTGAAATAAATGAAATAAACATTTCATTTTATTAATCTAGAATTACTTTCTCTATGAATTTATCTTTGTTTTCCACTGAGGATTCATGATCATTCTTTTCCTACATTCATGATACTGTCTGGTGGTTTTTTTAGTACTAAATGTTTCAGTCAGGGAGTGTGCCTTGCAAAAGACCGAGTCATGTTAGAAAAATGTTTTATTGTATATATTTGCAAGAATTATGCTAATTAAGAGGAATATGATAGTAGTAGAAATTTAGTAGAAATTTTTGGCAGATCTAGTTTAATCCAGTCATTGCAGGGCTGGAAAATGGCTAATTACAGACACCACAGATACTCATGACAGGCCCTGATTCCCTCCTGTGTCTGTAGCCTGTGTCTTGCCTGGGGGAAGAATTGGATGCTAGTAATGAACTGATGATTTTTCTGAATTTAATGGAAATATCAATGGTGTGTAAATGCAGTTATTAGTAATAACTAGAAAGTCTAAAGCTGTATTTCTCAACAGATGAGGTGCTTTGAATAGCAGTGGAGCATGAAGGTTATCGAAAGCCAGGTAGGAGGCACTTGAAACTCTTGCTCTCTTTATGGCTTTCTTTTCCTTTTGCTCCCTTCTTGCTGAGGAGAGCTTTGAGGAATAGAAAAAGAAGACAGGAGTCATGTACTGATTTATTCTTTAAACAGCCATCACAGTCAATTTCTAAAGCACCTCATCTCAAATTGCCTCCTTCTTATTCACTGTACATTTCTAAAATAATGAGCTGATGTTTATGGAGGTGGGAGGCTGGAGGTAAGGAAATGAGCTTAACTTAAGAATGCTAACTGTAGAGCAATGTACAGAAGTCTCAGTACTTTCCTCAACATTCTTTCAAGAAGTAATGATGTTTCAAGTTTAACCATTTGGGTTTAAAAGACCTGCTGATTTTGCATCTTTCAGTATATTTCTCTGACTGAAGACTCTCTTTGTCCCTTCTTAAGCCCTGCATTTTATAGTTCCTCTCTTTATTTTTAATATATAAGCTTCAACCATTTTGGTTTCAGGGTTAATACAGAACCCTTAATTCTGGATTAAAGCATAAGAATGGAAGAAAACTGTAGGTAAATACATACAGACATGCATGCACGTATGTAATGTTCATGTGTACACACATACGACAGCTTATGGACATTTCAGGGAAATGATTGGTTACAGACTGTACATCCTTTAGGCTATCAGCTTCAAGGCTAGGAATGGAATCTCCAGTTCAGGGCAGCCTCCATTTCATATATATAGGAAGATGTTGACTCTGTGAGACAATTCTGTAATTGATTTAAATGCTGTGCTAAGATGTCTTCCAACCCATCTGAGCGAGTGTTGACACCTCCTACAGACCTTTGAAGGCATGAATGGATGGATAGACAAGAGTGTGGGTGGTGGGCAGCACTGCCTGTCAGGTGTCATGGTTCAGTGTCTTACAGAAAGGGAAGCTCATGTTAGCAGAGAAGCCAAAAAAGCTGTCAGTTTACTTCTTCTGAAGCACTCGGGAGGAGATGTGCATTGACTGTGAGAACAGGAAAGAAAAGGAGGAAGATGACATGTTGTAGCATCCTCTTGCAGTGAGGTGAGGGAAGGAATATACAGGTCACAGAATCACAGAATTGTAGGGGTTGGAAGGGACCTCCAGAGATCATCGTGTTCAACCCCCCTGCCAAAGCAGGTTCCCTACAGCAGGTCGCACAGGTAGGCATCCAGGCAGGTCTTGAACATCTCCAGAGAAGGAGACTCCACCACCTCCCTGGGCAGCCTGTTCCAGTGCTCCGTCACCTCACTGTAAGGAAGTTCTTGTGCACATTTGTGCAGAACTTCCTATGCTGCAGTTTCCAGCCATTTCCCCTTGTCCTGTCTCCACTCACCACTGAAAAGAATCTGTCCTCGCCATTCTGCCCCCCACACCTCAGATATTTATAGACCTGGATCAGGTCCCCTCTCAGTCTTCTTTTCTCCAGGCTGAACAGACCCAGTTCACTCAGCCTTTCCTCATAGGAGAGATGCTCCAGGCCCCTCACCATCTTTGTGGCCCTCCGCTGGACTCTTTCCAAGAGATCCCTGTCTTTTTTGTACTGGGGAGCTCAGAACTGGACGCAGTACTCCAGATGAGGCCTCACCAGGGCAGAGTAGAGGGGGAGGATCACCTCCCCCTCTAGATGATACTGATCCCATCTAGGAGTGGTTGTTAGGAATATAGTGCAGAAAGGTACAGAAGGTACTGTGGCAGCTGGAATGTGTAGGCTTGTTTGCAGGGGAGCAGAAGGGTGGTTTAAGAAGCTTGGTCTTTGTTATATTTATGCACCTCCGTGCATTTTGTAAATCCAAATATAGTAAACAGCTATCCTCCTTTATTATATTCCCATGAAATAAATCACAGCATCACCCGAGAAATCCAAGCCACAGGTCACTGTTAACTCCTCTTTAAAGACCAATCATCCTGGAACAAACTTCCTGTGATTACCATGAGCGTGTGTTACAGGATATATTCCATGGTACTTTGCTCTGAAACTTGCTATAAATCTCCCTCAGTCCCTGGAAGAAGAATTAATTTGCCTCTTTCTGAGTGATTTGTGGAACTGTCAGCAAATGAGTGATTTTCTGTTTCATCCTCCCAAAAATGGTCAGGCTGCAGCCTGGGTTAGGTTTTACCCCAAGACTCATAAACTTTGAAATAGTCCTGTCTTGGCTGAGATGTTTTTTTATAGGAATTGAGTTTGGATTAAAACAGGCAAATACTCTTGTTAGTTTTGTGCAGTTACATAGTAAAGATGTAATCTCAGTCTCCTTATTAACCTTAACTGCTAATAAAGCAAACAAAACTCCATATTTCTACACCTTCCGTGCATCCTCTTTGAAGGCTTGATGTGCCATTTGCCTGATCTCATTCATTGTCATCAGCAGCAGAAGCGAGGGGTTGTGTGGTCAGACAGGAAGC